GTTACTTAATCATAATACAGTAGATTAATTCACCGATAATTTTATAGTATAAATATTTAAATATTCATGTAACTGCTGATAAATATTATATTAAACTTTTAATTTACCACCAATGCCTGCTCATCGTGATTAAAATCAACTTGTTGGTCGCCATTATAATTGTCCTCGATCATAGCAAGCTGCTTGATAGGAGTTTTCTGTTCAGTGGATGAATCAGCCTAAATAAATAAATAAATAAATGTTAAATTGAATGATTTATCCTAATAAAAAATATAAAACTATCTTTAAATAAAGTTTAGTTTATTATTTATCAATATTTGAATGATTTATGTCAATGATAATGTTGTAGAAATATTAATACATTTAAATTGATTACAAAATAACATCGAAAATATTTATAATACAAACAATATTAATAGTATATTGTATTATGCAAACTTCAGCCGGGCAAATTATATTTTAGAAGAGTGAATAATAAAAATAAAATATACAATTATAAAAGTTATAAAAATACAAATACAAATAACGATATTTGTATCATAATTATTTAGACTCAATTACAATCTAAAAAAAAATTAAAATTAAACTACAATAATTTTAGGTTTATTTGTACTTTTTTTAAATATATTACAACAAGAGTGCTGTTGGATAATATATTTTAATACCGTCTACTCATTTTATTTGACATAATTTGTGTTTAACAATGTAAAATTATGTTCATTATTAAAATGTTGATTTCAATTAGATTAGCCTTTTAAAATAAAATATTTTAATTCTTTAGAATTCTTCAGTAATAAATTAAAAATATTGTATGTTTAAATAGAAATAAATAAAAGTAAATTATAAAATATATGATTAAATTACATTAGTTTGCATACCTTGTTTTCTGAAGGTGAATTAGGTACTAAAAAGTTGTTACCAAAAAATGAACTTATGCTCTGGTGTCTGCAATTTAATTTTAATATTTCATCTTATAATATAAAAATAACGATGAAGAGTAGTTATACAATTTTTATACTACTTTAATACAGATTTATCATTATGATAAGGTACTCGCGTTATGGGTCTGTCTATAAGCAGTCGATTAGACCACACCGTCGTTATCATTTTGTTATTATCAAAAACAAAGTTGTTATCATATCGTATCATGCATTATAATAAATACATACATTAATTAACAAGAAATCAAAATTTAATAATTTATTTTATACTAATTACACGTGTTTAGTGTAAAACATAGTAAGTATTAAGTACCTACAATCTACATGTATTTTTCATTATTTTTTTAAGTATTTATTACAAGTTGAAAACAAATATATCATTGTAAAACTAATACATTCATGCTTTGTTCATAAAAATTTAACTTAATTATAAAAATTATATAAAATACTCACATAAACAATAAATATCTTTAAACAGTTATAATCAATTTAAAAGTGTATAATTAGGTAATATAATAAAAATTGCCATTAGATAAAAATGTAAGTCAATAAAAAAATTAATAATAATACGTTTTACGGAAGTTTCTTTTTTTTGTGGGATTTTGGTATGTCTAATAAATGTTCAGATGAACGCTTTGAAGGTAACAATAATAAACCATTTTCGAATGAACACCATTTAAAATCTTAAGCTGTTCAGATAATTCTTTTGAATGGTCATTTGTATTAACCATGTATGTTAAATCTATCATCTTTTTTAGAGTTTCTCGAATTTGTTCTTGAAGATTCTATTGCTTTTCATTGTCTGGAATTGTACTATGTTGGTAATTTCTACTGTTGTCTATATCCATATCATGCAATTGTAAAGCATTTTCTTTTTCCAATACATTAACAGGTGATTTTGTTAATATTTTCTTACTGTGTACATTTTTTATAGAATAATGAGGATCAGCAGATATGAACGGATTATTTGAAAAATGTTCAGGTAAATCATCAAAAGAATACCCTGGAATGTAAAGAAATATTGCACATATATGTTTACATGGCCAATGGAATTTAATATAATCAATACATGTACAATTTGGTATTTGGAAATTAATTGTGTAAGCACAAGTTTCATTTTCACTCTTTACATTAAATGTATGTTCCAATT